AAAAAACACCACACAATCTTGAAGTGCTTTGGGAACTGGACATTCATGGTATCTTGCAAGGAGGCTTTTTGTCATGAAGATGCATGAATTTACTCACCAGCCCACTAAGATAATTGCTTCTGCAAGAAGCTCAGACGATGTTTAATGATGTATGACAGGTACATCTACAGGCAATATTTCAAAGCAGTGTTCTGCTTAAGGGACTAAGATGAGATTTTTTGGGCTGAACCAACCTATGGAACCAATACGATACTTTATTCCCTATATAAGAATCAAGCCACCAAGGTTTTGTTACTGGGGAAGAGCTGGCACCTGTTGCACAGGTGAAGTTCCCTGACAGAACATTTTAAGTGCTAGGTCTTCCCGATACACACAAATGTAGAATGCACAACAGCTTCAGATCCTTACCCTGGAATTGTCCTTGACACTAGAATTGACCCTGCAAGATCACTTGACTTGTACTTAATTCATACAACATTTTAATCCTAAGATACAACATTTTAATCCTAAGACTGTCACCAAGAGGTTGTTGGCCCCAGATCTTCTTACCACAAGGATGCCAAGAGCCTGCTGTTAGCCTCATCTAGTCCAGCACAAGTTACCTGCCTGCTTGCCGCATTGGACCAGCTGCAGGCCTTGGCAGTGTGGCTGGCATCACTTTTGTCGAGTTTTTTCTCTTTTGATCACAAAGGGAAAGAAAGCATGTGGTATATGTATCTAGTCACTCGAAGACCACAACACTTGCTGTTGTCAAGATCAACATCCAGACAAAGCATTGGAAAGGATCTGCATACACACTAGGGATGCAGACAGGGTATAGACAGGGGCCAAGACATGCTGGTGTTTTCCTTATGGCTGGATGAAACACGGGCTCCTGAAAACATCAACTTAGAAAGAGCAGGAAGTTTGTGTGGTTGTGATCAAATCAAACAGCTATGGTCTGGCACTGGGACACAGTCACTTATATCCTCCAAGAAGAGATGTTCAATCTGATCCAGGAATCAGTATGAAGTTCTGCCAAGTCCCGAGGGAGACTGTTCCCCCACTACTGGATTTCCACCCACGGCACAAAGGCCAGCTTTTTAGGATGCAGCTGAACATGCACATGTTAACTTATAAAAACCTGGGAATACCATGAACAAGAAAGAGCAAGCAGGTTGGGTTGTTCATTTGTTCTGCAATGGTCCAGCAGAGATTGTAACAATTCTCCACATCACACAAAAAGTCAGCAGCACTTTTATTCAGAACCATACAACATGGAATGAGTTTTAAAATGGAAATTCAACCGCATATGATATGACAATAGACTGGTGTGAAAGGAAAGTGTTTTTTGGTCTCAAGTCCAGCAGTTGAGTCCAGGGCTTGATTCTAGCTCACCTACAGCTAGATGGAGCCTTGGGAGCACACAGCAAACGAATACTCCACATTTCAGTTGCAACTTGTCTAGGACACTGGTGAACAATCATTGCGCTCAAGTGTTTTGCCTAGGTGAAAAGGGGCAGCATAGGGAATAGAGGCCAAGGTTGCTGCCCCTTTAACAGTATTTCCCGAACAAGCAGCTCCTGGTCACGCAGATAATCTGCTCCTCTCTGGCTGTAGGCCAAACCAATTTCAAGTCCTAGACCACCCTGAGCTTGCTGGCAATTGATACACCACCACAAGCTAAGCCAGCAGCCAATTAGAGGGTAACCACAGAGCAGAACATGTCAGAGGAATAGCCTTACACACAGCCCGCAGAGCTTAACCCTCTGCAGGTTTCAGATACTCGTTTTGGAGGTGATCCAGTCTCGATAGTAAGTCACTCGTGTGTACACTCCTGGTTTATTTGGCTTGGCACATTCATCGCCCCAGCTCACTATTCCCACAAGATACCAGATTCCTCTGGAGTTTGCACTCACCAGTGGCCCACCAGAGTCACCCTAAGGAGAAAAACATCAACAGGCAGGAACAGAGAGCAAACAGTGTTCACTAATGCAGCAAGCAAACTGTTATGTTCTGTCACAAGTGATAGGCAGCCTCCACACTGTTTTATTAAGAACACAGGGTGACAGCTTGTGCCTAATTCAGAGCCTCTCCCATTCTACACCCTCACATCTTCATTCTCACACGCGTATTATATGCAAAAATAATGCATAGAAGCACAGACTTCAGCCCAGAAGCAACGAAGTCCTTAATTTACATCAGTCAAAATCTTGAACCCCATAACTTAAACATACTTTGGAAAACCTTGATTATGTCTGGACAACATGCTGGGCAATGTGCTCTAGGTGACCCTGCTGGAGCTGGGGCGTGGGATTAGATGACTTCTACAGGTCCCTTCCAACCTCAAACATTCTGCAAATCTTATTTCTTTACTAGGAAACATCACCTCCCACCTAGCCTACCATTTCCTTTCTACTGTTACATAAGGTGAGACTTACCTGGCAGGCATCTACCTGCCCCTCTAAATAGCCTGCACACAGCATTCCAGGTGTTATCATTCCATGGTACACTTGTCTCCTATTACAAATCCTGGAGCTTATAATTTTCACTTCTGCTTGTCGAAGTTGATATACACTATAGCCTACAAGGAAAAGCATCTTTAGGATTTGTACACAGGGTTTGCCACCTAAAGCACATGAGGATTACAAGTAGCCAGATTTTCCTAGCGGCTTTTCTGCCACTGCAGGCAATAAGGGAGCTACCCAATGTCTCAGGAAAAAAATTTCTTTTCTCCTCAAGTACTTCACCTGTCCCAAACACAACCCTTTCTCCATCTTCCATCCTCAGCAGATGCTATTTAACATAATGGGCATATCTGTGAAGGGATTTTTTTGTACATGTTTCGGTGCTCATTTGCCAACTGCAGGCTACAAGATATATGCCCTTGATGCCAGTGGAAAGAGCCAGTCAGTTAACTGGAATGTGGGTTTGGACAACAAGCAAGAGCCTAACACAAAACACAGCTTTTAGTCAAATGGCTCTCATAAGCACACTTTTAGCTCTGAGCATGGTCTCGAATCTTTAACACTGACTAAATTGAAATGAAGACCATTTCTCAAGTCATTCGATGAACTGGAGCCTGAATGAGGACTGAAGAGAGTAACTGATCAAAATAGTTATGATACATCTATGATAGAAAGCTAGAGGGGAAGAACTCATGTGAGAGTTAAAGCCAGAGGATGAGGCCAGTGAAAACAGATGAATGAAGTCAGGCACTACAATATAACAGCAACAGAAAAGCTGCTCTTATTCCTACAGGGCCAGCCTGTAGTTTTTTTCCATCTTCCAAATTGCCAAATAGCCCTAAAAAAGCAGCAAACCAAGTCAATGAGTACACCATTAGCAAATGCACTTAACAAGAATGTCTAATCAACTCGAACAAATAAACAGAAAACTAATAAGAAGCTTCTCCGATACACATATGGGAAGGCACAGAAAGGGGAAGAGATACTCACCATCATTCCTCAGAGCTCCCCAACCTGTGACAAAACAGGTGGTGTTGTCTGGGAAAACATGAGATGCTTCAGGAAGACAGACACTGTGCACATCACTTGTGAACTTAATAGGTGAGGCAAGCTCCACAAGGGCCACATCATATTCATGGCTATGGAGGTGATCATTGTATTCTTCATGAATGATAATGTTTCGGACATACTTTTTCTGTTTTGGAGATCTCAGCAGAGTCCCAAAGCTGGCAGTCCACCTCCGAGGTTCTATTTCTCTGAAAGAGATTGAAGGTTAAGTCACAGGCCTAAAGAAACAAGATTCCCAAAAGAGCTCAGCTTTCCGGTAAGGCATCAAAATGCTACACGTTGTCTAAGGAAGATAGCAGAGTCACATTACATTTTGCTTCAGCAGATACCAACATCAACAGCCCACATAAGGTCCTATTACAAGAGCCTCAAAGCCTACAAGGCCAGAAAGGTGCCAGTGACTTACCCTCTGAAGCAGTGGGCTGCAGTCAACAGCCACGTATTACTGATCACCGATGCGCCGCAGCGATGGATCCCATCAAGCTGAATACTGGCCTGCCAGGGCCATTCCCCATCCCGCGCGAGCTGCCCGCCAGCTATTCGCTCTACTCCTGAGAAGGAGGATGTCATCTGCCTCCTTATCCCACAGCCTGCCAACGAGAGAGAAGCTCTGCTTTAGCTGTTATTCAGGTTCAAGGAGATCAGGGTCTTGCTTTGGATGGGCCCATGTGACTGCTGGTGGGGTTGTAATAGGGCAGAGTCATCAAGTGACAACCTTCCGCTTCAGCAGTACCTCTAATAGCAGGGAAATGAGACGTAGTCATAAGAGTCTCAGGACAGATGTGGGGCAAACAGCTCAGTAGAAGAGTTGCTACCTTTTCATTAAGCCAGTTGTCAGGCACACAAGCTCCTTCCTAGGTGAGCTTTATGTCCGGTAGACTTTGTTTTGCAACTGCTAACTTAAAAATACTGCCTCTTTCTACAAACCTTGCCTTGTCTGATATGCTTCCCTTTCTACAACTGTGGTCACATAATATACAAACACCCTTTAGTGGGTCTGTGCACACACGCTCTTTCACACAGATTAGGCACAGCCAAGACACACGCACTACTGATTAACCTAAGCATTTATACTCATACAGCCTTCACAATAATGGCATCTGAGTCTCATCTAAAGCAGTTATACCTCTCATGCTACTGCATGAAAAAAGTTAGTATGAAAAGACTTGTTAAAAAGTCTGAAGTGCCAAAACACAGAGGCATATAAACATATAAACAGCCACCAGACCAAGATAGCTCCATGCTTTAACACACATGCACCAACACCAAAACATGCAGAAGACACTGTGCATATCCCTGTGAACTCAGTGGAGGCATTATCCCCATCATTTGTAACGTCTCAACTGCATAGGTAAGGCAAGATGAACATGGTCAGTATATCTTTCTAGAGTGTCACTGAATTGCTAAAGAGTAGTTCAAGGGGAAAAAAGCAACAGATTTTGTCAGGCTACCTCAAGGTCAGCCTTGACAACAGATAAAAGACTCTTTTGGAAGGAGGAAAGAGGAGGTGCAGCTGCTAGAGCTGTTTACACTTCCCCAGATAGTTCATGTCCAGCCCCACATCCTGCACTACTGCGCAACACCTCTGATCTCCTGCAACATCTGGTTGCTCATGACCAGCAAGTGCTATCGCCTCCATGCAGGGCACGAGCAAGGCAACTACCCTTCTCTTCCAGGTGGCTATCACTAGACACAAAAGTAAAGTGGCATGGGAAGAGAGGAATGATGAATTTACCAGCAGTATAAGGCCATGAGCTGGGCCTCACAGCAGCTGTGGTCCTCATGCAAAGATCACCAAGAGCAGCCCATTTACATGCCCCAAAGGGACATCGTTAACAAAGCCAGAGCTGCCAACCACCTACAAGTCTGAAAGCTTAATACCGCAAACACTACAGAGTCCATATGACTGCAAGAAAGTGAGCTGAGTCCTCCCCAGCTTTTGCATTATCTGCTGCTCTAGCAATTTTTAAAAGTTACTTTTCAATCTGGATCTTAAGCATAAAAATCTGGTAACCACAGAACCTATAGCACCATGTCCCTGGACTAATTTTAATAGTGTTTGTACTTACAGTTGTTTAAAAGGTTTTCTCCCTTTTCCTTATTCAGCTCTGAAACGAAAAGCAAATAAAACAGTGAGAACATCTCATGCTCCTACCTGAGCCAGCACAGACTCCCTTCCTGTACCCAGCAAAATCAGAACAAGAGCAGATGCCTGCAAATAGGTCCAGGTAAGATCTACATGTGCTGGGTGCTGCGCATGATATAAAAGCCTATATGCATTTGTTCAGCTTAATGCACAATAAGCTGCTCAAAACAGTCTTAACAAGACTTCAGTACCTGCTACAGCAGTCTGTCACATGAGGAAGGAAAACAGCTGGTGACAAGGAAGGGGAACCATCTCAGCTTTTTTTTTTTTTAAATAACTTGAGGACTCTGCATTTGGGTACCTGGAGATACAGGCTCCCTTCATGCCTTAACAAACTCATCAGGGAGCAATACAAGTCACCAGTCACCATCTCATTGCTCTTAAATGTTGAAAACAGAAGACAGTCATCAGTGAACCCGCAGTTAGAGCCAGGCCTTTTTCCAGAGAATTAGCTGGGACATAACCTGTTTCAACAAAGCTAGGTCCCTTCACAGTGACAAAAGCTTCAGTGTACAGAGCAGAGTTAGAGCTAATGTAGGTGAGCGCCAGCCTGCCTTACCTCTGTTCACACCACTCCTTGTGCCACGGCTCTTGGGCCGTCAGCCAATAAGGCAACCTGACCTGTCCACACCACCATTTTGAGACAGGAGAAGAAAACAGCAGTGACACACGTTTGCATAATAAACTGAAACTCATTACACTGAGGACAACAAAGAATGAGGAACAAATTTCCAGCTAAAAATACAAACCTAAGGCACTTGCCTGTGAGTCTAAGGGTAGATTGGTCAACTTCCAAGAATGTCGTGCTTGCTTTCAGCCCTTTGCGTAACACACTGTTGATACGACCCCAGGTTGCTGCTTCATTATCAGCTGAGGCAATTTTAAATACCAGAACAACATATGCAAGCACTCCGCCAGGATCTGGGCTGCAAACCAACATCAAAGTCAGTGGTGTCATCTTTTTGACCGCTAATCCTCTTAACTTTATTTTGCATTGTTTGCCTTCCTTGTAGAAGAACAGGTCTGGTCTGCGCAGATGCATAGTAAAAATAGCACGGTTGTGCACAGAAAAAGGAGGATGACTACATATGTCAGTAGGCAGCAAAGGGCTCAGCTCACACTATAATAATGATCTGAGAGATCTTCTAGGGGCAGTTAAGCAGCACAGATGAGGAAGAAATGCTCCCTTTGCCCCCACACAGCTCACAGACTTCAGTAGGAACACGACAAGGGTCAAGCCCTTCAACAAATGAAGGTGCCCAACAAGCAATTCCTAACAGCCATTCAAAAGATACAGTCCAGAAATTAAAAAGGTCTTTTGGCATTTCTTCTCATTTAAGTCAGTTGTCCATCTATTGGCTGGTTCTACTGAAGCACTGTTTGCTCCACAGCAACTAGAGACAAAACCCTTGCTAGCTTTTTGAGTTATCAGAGCTAGTCATGATTGTTCATCGTTAGGGTAAAACACAAAGCCCTGTATTTTAGGCTAACAGTCTACAGGAAGAGCAAGCCAAGCCTGGGAACAAAGACAGCAGAGGTGCAGCTAAGCTGGCCCAGTATCCAGTTGCATAAGAAGTTACCTGTACTGAAACAAAGCTTGGAGAATACACTATCTGGTCAACCTAAAAGGTGCAAAGAGATTGTTTGAAGTCTAGCCCCCAAATTCTGTGATTTCAGTTAAGACAATATGGGAGGCTTGCGGAAGACAAAAATTGCACCAGAAAACAATGTTGGACAGCTTAAGAAAACATCTCACTTTACCAAGAGACAGGTACAGCAAGTAAGCCCCGAAGCAGTGCTGTGGAGAAGAACATTTGCAGGAACTAAGACTGTTTTTCCTGCCTAGGGAAAAATATTCCACAGCAGAATCAGGCTTTACAGATATTACACAGTTTTGTTTTGGAGTTGTTTAGGAGAGGGAAGTGCTGGCTCTCACCAGTGAGAAAACATAACTACAGCACAAAGGAAAAAACTTTAAAAGCCCTCCTGCAGGGCCTTTATACCTGTATGTCCCACTGCCCCTCTTCCTTGATCTGTATCCAGGTATCTCACAGTGAATCATTTATCCCTTCAGACTCATTGAGGGGAGAGAGTGGCCACCTTCTGTGGTACCCCATGCAGAGGGCTAAACACCCCACAGGGAACCTGTGTGGAACAAGGAGCCAACTCCAGATCTCACATGCCCAGGATAAATTAGTAATTTGGTTACTGAAACAAACCACAGAACTGGTGTTTGGGGGGAACCCATTTGTAGAAGTAAAAGGCAACGTTTCTCCTCCTTGCTGACCTCTAAATATGATGGAGCCCTCTAACATGAGCGCCAAGGGAGAAGGACAAACAGCCAAGACTTCAGCATCCTACTGGCAAAATCAAGACAACCAGACAACCCTCTGTGTGGTCAAGGGATAAGGAAGGGAAAAAAATTTCTCATCCCCTCTTTTTCCTTACCTTCATATTACTTACCTTAGACTGACAACATGGGACCTGATGTACCTTTTGCTTAAAAAGGACGCCTTAAATATTCTGGACATCTGTTAAAGGGAAAGTGTATTAAACACATCTTTAACACACACACGCTCTCTGTATAAAACATACTGCCTTGTGAGCCTCTGAAATATGAGAGGCTGCCTTCAAATCTCTAATCTACCCAAACTACAGCAAAATCTCCACCGAAAACTGCTGCTTTTCTGTGAATACCAGTTCTGCAAAGCAGGCAGCTTTCAGTGTCCCTTCGCTCTCCAGGCACCTGTTGCGTCGCAGGGCTGCTGGAACAGGCAGCATGTGCGCTTACCATCTGCTTGCACATAGTCAGCAAGCCATCGTTAACCCACTACAAAAAAGCTTTAAGCTTAAGGCCGCAGAGCTTGCATTGTGGAGAAGGAGTAGCTGCATGACCCCTCCACCTTTTAAAATTGAATTTAAAAACCTTAACAGCACCCAGAAAGACGCACACAATCTTGACTCTCTAAATGAAAAGTGAGTTGCCAGGACTTTTCCCTCAATATTTTCTCCGCGTAAGGCTTTCTCACTACGCTGTGTTTTCTCCAGCTCTAAAATAATTTTGGAGGCTCTCTTCTGCACCACCCTAGTTTCCCACTGTCTGTGTTAAACGGCAAAGAAAGCCACAGAGAATCCACCCTGCCAGCAGTACACGTCAGGCAAATAACTTTACCCGTCTCCAGTTTATATGTGGCATGGGCCTAGTATCGTATCATATCAAAAATACGGTCTGCCAGGCACCACCCCTGCACTGAACTTTTCCATGGCTCTGCATTTACAAGTCCTACATCCAGCAGCAGGGAGGCACAGGGTCATTTGCTGCCCTCTACAGAAATCCCCTGCAACTGTGGGCAGGCCACAAAGGTCTCAAGCTCCCAACAGTAGTGAAACATCTAACTCCTGATGATTTCAAGGAAAGCTAGACACCTAAATACTGTCACAATTTAAGCCCTGATCACATTGTGCTGATTTTCTCCTCATCTGCCCAGCAATCGCACCAACCTACCTCTAAGGAATTTGGGAAGATAAATACCATAGGAAAACGTAAAGATACACAGATACCACAGCACTGAGGGCCATATGCATAGACACTGCTGATCTACCAACTGACTCCAATGGAGTCTTTCCATCCAAGGGATCCCCCAACTTTCCAAACTTTTAGGACTTAACCTTGCTGTTCCACTTCGGTTGGCAGTTACAGGCACGGCTGACTCAACCACATCAAGTTAAACGCAGGTCAATGGCATTGCCAAGGAATAGGCTCGTCATCTTCAGTGTTTAATTTTGATCTTTTCCTCATGCTTCCAACCCTTTGACCTAGGAATAGGCTACTACAACCACAGTTAGAGGACTCTTCCCCGTGGGCCAGGCAGAAATAGAGAAATATCTTGGCTTACCATTGTTTCAATCTCTTCACTCAGGTGTCTGAACTGTTCAGTGGTTTGCCTCTGGTAGTAAGGGTCATAGCGGACATTGGAGATTTTGAAAGTTGCATTGTAATATCGGTCCTCATCTACAGGAGGAGAAAGGAAGGATCACCGACTGCCCTTATTACAGTTCAGACATGCACAGCACCTCGCAGAACACAGCCCAAACCAGGCTGCCAGGCTCTAGCTGTGACCCTATCAGGTGAGGAATCGCAAATTTGGCCAAGCTCTGAGCAACACCACAGGGAAGGATGGTCCAGGCCATCCCGTTGCTCCCTGGAGTTGTTTATACCCATTCAGCCATCAAGTTAAGGTTAAGATCTGGCCTTGAAGTGGATAGCAGAGAGGAGTCCTTTAATGCAGAGTTAGCAAAAGGCAGAGCTAAAACAACAGGAAAGCTACAGCATCTCCTGGTCAGTTTGTCTGCTGTGTGGAGGTAAGCTGCGGTCTCCTCGAGTCTTGGTGAGCTGAGATAGCAGAACAGCCAGCGCCACCCCAGCAGGAACACATCTCAGAATTCCCTCACCTGGGGATCTCAGTCAGAACCTGGGAATGGCATAGCTACATTCAAGGGCTACTGAAGCTGGTTCAGGACTACCAGGACTAATATTTGCACTCTGAGAAGCCCAAACCTCTGCTCTCTTTCTCATTCTGGAACCTCCTAGAGGTGCCAGGTTAGGCCTCTACAAAAAGCCTGTCAAAGGCCGAGCTTGCTCTGCAAAGGCCAACTGCTAGACACAGCCCTGACTTACACAGAAGACTGCTTACTATTGACTAACCACCAGTACAGACAACAGGGAGTGAGAAGAAAGAGACCGAAAAAACCGAATTCCTCACTTCAGGTAAATGATATTTTAAGTATTCTTGAAGGTTTTCTAGTTAACACAGGACTTTAATAGGGTCTGGATAAGTTTTCTCATGGGGATTCTACACACAGCAGGTGAATTTCATCCTTTCATAACCAGGTAGGACCACCCAGCGAGTGTAACAGATATGTCTTCTGACAGGAAGAGAAAGTACGCTTACCACTACACAAAAAATATGTGATCAAGCCAATGACAAGGACCAAACCGAAGACCACTGACAGAGTGATGACTGCTATCTTCCACAGCTCCATAGGCTTCATTGATGTGGCCAGTGGGATCAATACCTGCATTGGCAAAGAAAACAAAGAAACTCAACTTTGTCACAAACACAATAACAAGTCCTGAACCAAACCATACTGGTGCAACTTCGCTTAGGCCCCCCTGACACACTCACAGACTGGAAGGACCCTCTGGAGCTCAGTCTGGCCCCCTGCTCAAAGAAGGGTCTCTTAGAACAGGTTGTTCCAGGTTTTGTCTAGTCATGTTTTGAATATTTCCAAGGATGGAGAACACGCAGCCTCTCTAGGGCCCTAGTTCAGCATCTGACCACCTCAGTAGCAAAAACTTTTTTCCTTATGTTTAGTCAGAATTTCTCTTGCACCTGCTTCCCCTCATTGTATCTCTCATACCTTTGAGAAAAGTCTAGAGTAGGGCAGACCAATATTGCTTAGTAGAGGCAATTTCTCAAGAAATACTACACAGATTTCTAGTGCAACTGACTGCCCAAGTAGATATTTAAATTGAACACAAGTCTAACATTTCATGACTGATCAAATAACTTCTGCAAGGATATTCTATACTACCAGAGATGCTATACAAAACAGTTTTGGGTTGCTTTTAGTTTGCTAATTGTTGCCACTCAGGCTATCTCCAAAAGCATTTGGGCTTCACTGTATCAAAATGATACATACATTGCTAGGCATTATCCTGTCCCCTGACAGACAATTTGAAAAAAGGGAGAGAAACAGCTACTTGCATATAACACGATATCGCAACAAGAGCCAGCCTTATTGACTTGCAAAAAGCCAGTAAGAGGCCTGTGAAAGGGTCAGGAACTTGACTCAAGCATGTACTTGAAGCTCAAAAAATGGGGGCTGGAAAAGGCAGAATATGAGCAGGCACAGCAGGCTTACACCAGGAGGCCAGTGGCCCAAGGCTGGCCGAGGGGGCAGACAGGCAGCAAAGACGAGGAGATCACACAATCACAGAATGGCCGAAGTTGGAAGGGACCTCTGGAGATCATCTAGTCCAACTCCCCCCACCCCTGCTCCAACATGGTCATCTAGAGCACATTGCACAGGAGCACGTACAGGCAGGTTTTGAATATCTGCAGTGAAGGAGATTCCACAGCCTCTCTGGACAACCTGTTCCAGAGCTCTGTCACCCTCACAGGAAAGAAGTTTCTCCTCAGACTGCGGCACAACTTCCTGTGTTTCAGCCCGTCGTCTCTCGTCTTGTTGTTGCACACCACTAAGAGTCTGGCCCCATCCTCTTGACACCCTCCCTTCACATACTTGTACACATTGATCAGATCTCTGTCTTCTCTTCTCCAGGCTGAACAGGCCCAGCTCTCAGCCTTTCTTCAGAGTAGAGATGCTCCAGTCCCCTCATCCTCTTCATAGCCCTCCACTGCACTCTCTCCAGGAGCGCCATGTCTCTCTTGTCCTGGGGAGCCCAGAATTGGACTCAGTACTCCAAAGGAGGCCTCACCAGGGCTGAGGAGAGGGGGAGAAGATCACCTGCCTCCACCTAATGCACCCCAGCAGACCATTGGCCCTCCTGGCCACGAGGACACGTTGCTGCCTCATGCTTCACTTGT